CTTTTTGCTGAGGAAGATTGGCCCTGAGCTAACATCTGTGCCCATCTTCCTCCATTTTATATGTGGGACCTCTGCCACAGCATGGCTTGACATGCAGTGCCTAGGTCTGTGCCCGGGATCTGAACTGGCAAACCCCAGGGTGCAAAAGCAGAGCACATGAACTTAAATGCTGTGCCACCAGGTTTGCCCCATCCTCTTAAATTTTTGAGTGTACAGTACAGTATTGTTAATTATAAGCACAATGTTGTGTAGTTGAGCTCTAGAGCTTTTTCATCTTGCATAACTCAAACTTTATACCCATTGAACGGCAACTTCTCCTTTCTCCCTCTTCCCAGCCACTGGCAACCACCTTTCTACTTTCTGTTTCTATGGGTTTGAGTACTTTAGATACCTCATGTAAGTAGAATCCAAGACCATTTCACTATAGAACACTTTGGAACACTCGGAGCATATATAGGTAATAGTCATATGTAAGAATATATTATTTGTTGAGAGAAGCTGAATTCCCACCCAATGTGCCATCAACGGTTGAATAGTTTGGTATAACATAGTCATGATTACCAAGCTCATCTTAACACAAAAAAGTAAACATTTGTGAGATTTTAAAGGAAAACTTAAAAAAGATATTTTGAAATTATAGGCATCATATGATGGAGGAAAGCAAAACACTTTTACAGTCAGATGGACATAAATGTGATTCCCAACTTTGCTTCTTATATGAAGTGCATTAGTCAACTCCAGTAATATGCTGAATCTTTTTAAGCCTCACATTCTTTCTCTGAAAAATGTCTTTTGTAATATCACTGTTATAGAATTTCAATAACAGTTAAAAATAACATTGTGCCTTGTAAAGAGTAGGCACTCAATGAATCAATAAATTGTAATTCTTTGGTGATTATCCATACCAAATGATGAACTATGAGGTTGGTGAATCCCACAAACAATGTTTCTATTGCTACTTAGACTCGGCCTGGGCTGGGAGCTCATAAATAATATAAAGTAATATAAAAACTCTAGTCTGTGATTAAAATCGTGTTTTGACATGCTTTATGAGCTCTTTTTATATAGATTTTTGATAATATGCTTTCAAAATTATTGGCAGATCTACTCTTTGTGTGTACTTCAAGCTGGATAATGGAAAAAGATTTATACAGTTTTATTGAATTTACCAGGGTTAGAGTAAGCCACGTTAATTATTGCTATGTCATTCTTGCAGGCTAGCAGGAACTGAGACAAAACATAAGCCAAACTAAATATAATTAGCATTAAAATGAGTCAAGCATGAAAAATAATCGAATGGGTCCTGAAGTGTCTTATTCGTGTCAACAAAAGGAGATCATACTTGTTTGCAAACATTCATTTTAATTGCTTTTCACCCATTTTCTGAAATATGAGAGGTGTTTTAGATGCCTATCATATTTCTCAAATAACATTTTTGTTATTGACATTACAACCAACACTGTCATAAATAATTAATCTGACTTTTAAAACTAGGTGATGAAAGCTAAAAAGATCTTACAGGATGAATACCAGGTGCCCATGTCCCTAAAAAATAATCATTTTTTTCTTTCCAAATGTATATTATTCAATGTCAATAAGTTTTTGGTCAGTTCATTCCCTTTAGAGCATAAATTCTTTCTTCTAAGTTTAGTGAATTTGAGTTGAATTTAAGGAACAAATTTACCCAACAAAGAGATATTTTTACATGGGGATTCTATCTAATTTCTGTTCAGTAGGCCTTGAGTAACCAGTAGTAAGTATTTACCTCTGACCGGTAACTGTGAGAAGAGAGTCCAAAAAATTAGAGGATAGACAGGAAGAAGAAATTCTTGAAAAAGAGAGAAGGAAACTGAAAGTTCTGTAAGTAATAATAGAGGGAAGTTGCTGTGATCATGAAGCACTGAGGGCAGAGTAGGTAATGATAGACTTAGATTAGTGTTTCCCTTTGATGGACAAGGCATCTGCTCACGTGGTATGAGCTGAAAGGTGCCAATGAGGGAAAATGAAGAGTGTATTCCCTGGATATCTGCTGGAGTTCAGCTCTTCCAATTCCAATATACTATGACAACTCCCTCAGTGGATTTCTATAGGTGAGAGCTAAAGTCAGAGGAAAAGAGCTACACAGACAGGAAGGATTCTTGGAATCGTAGGCTGATTCCAGAAATTGTAGGCTTCCTTCTAGTTTGATGGGGGCTGATGTTCCACAAGCACATACTCTTTTTGGTCTTATTAGCTATAAATTTGTTGAAATACTTCTATACTGTTTGGTAAAAAGCTGATGCCAGAGTTATCCATGTATCTCCTTTATATGCCTGGTTAGCTTCACCCCCGGGTACTTCTGGATTCCTGAAATCAGGTAAACGAAGTGGTGATGTCTGGTACAGCAGGACAGTCCAAGATATACTAGCATTATGGCTGGTGTAACTTGTGACATGTAGGTACCTGTGCCAAAGCAATGATCAAATATTTTGGCTATCATCCTTGGGGAAGTATATCAGTTCTGGACTTTTGAAATAAAAAGGGCTTCGACAATATAAAAGGCTAAAACGGACTCTGAAATGTGAGATTGGAACCCAAAGCAGAATTTTACCTATTTTAGAATTTATCTGAGATCCATTAAAATGAGTGTGGCAGGATCATTAAAATTAAGTTAAATTGGAAGCATTGCTCTATGCGTGAACTTCAAATACAATTACACTAAGGAGGAAAAACATTTATAATCAGGGGGCTGGCCCCGTGGCCAAGTGGTTAAGTTCGCGCGCTCCGCTGCAGGCAGCCCAGTGTTTCGTTGGTTCGAATCCTGGGCGCGGACACAGCACTGCTCATCAGACCACGCTGAGGCAGCGTCCCACATGCCACAACTAGAAGGACCCACAACGAAATATACAACTATGTACCGGGGGGCTTTGGGGAGAAAAAGGAGAAAAATAAAATCTTTAAAAAAAAAAAAAAACATTTATAATCAATTTTTCTGTTGTTCCGTCAGAGCCTTTCACAAATCCAATATGAACCATTCTTTTTTCTTTTTTTTTCACTCAAATATTCCATTTCCAGGCAGCTTTAAAATCAGTATTCCCCATCTCATCTCCTGTCACTTCCTGATTTACAAAGCAAAAATCCAGGGCTCTAGCTGTATTTGAACTTGATGGGCTCTTTCATGACAAGATCCGTTGGCACATGCTGCCTCTTCTTCCTGGAATATCTGTCACCTTTTATTACATCAGTGACCCTTTCAGTCTTCAAAGTTCATATCAAATGGCATCTCCAAAGCATATTCCCTGCACATGTGATGTTTCACCCAATGTAGGCATCTACAAACATATGCCAAATGGATTGTTTTAGACAAACTTCTTTTATAACTTCTATAATCTTCAAAGAGGAGGAGAGAAATGTGCCTGCTTTTATAATATGCATGTCACATTCTGTTAAGAGTATTGCTTCAAAAGTATTTTAACAGAAGATAATTATCTGAGTGAGAAATTAGACTGTCCTACCTTATTATTCGAAACAGAGTTTTAAGTGATTTCAGACTGAAAAATCCTTTTACTTCCTAGTTATTTCTTTTTCATATGTAATTGTCTAACTTTCTATATCTCTGTTTACACTTCTGGATAATGTATGAATAAATTTGCAGATTCTTATCATATGACTTGAATTAATCACTTCTTAAGTAAAATATAGATGCCCTTCTGGAAAATGTTATTAAGTTAATTATAATGCATTTCATGATTGTCTAGGCCTTGTTTCCCTTCATAATAAAGAAGTTAGTTAATGGATGTATAAGATAGTAATTTTGTGATCATAAGGTCTCCTTTTACTTCAAATAGTTTAAATTAACATTTAAATTGTATGTAGTATACTTTTATTAAAGAATAAAGGTGCTTATTTAAAATATAGTGAGGTTAATGTGGAATGATAAAACTGACAATCATGTTTTAGGCATTTTCTCGTATAACAGGGATTTTTGTTCTTATATTTTTCATCTTGTATCACAGACTTATTATATACAAAGAACTATCATTTTATGGGAGATAAAATATGATCTATTCTCTTAGCCAACTTACATCTAGCAAGGAAGTTAACCCACAGATATGAAGTTGATTAAATCTGTAAAACAGTAATACATAGCAAATTCTAAGTGGTAGGCACTATGCCAAATGCCTTGGATAACCGTATGACTTGGTGGACACTAACAACAACTCATGAGGCAGGTGCCATTAATTTCCTAATTTTACAGATGAGAAAACTCAGGCACAGAGATAATAACTGATTTGCCCAAGAACACATGATAGTAAGTGATTGATATGGGATTCAAAGCCAAGCAACGTGGCTCCCGAATCTATCCAGCTAAGCTCTAGGCTACGATTCTATATCAGAGGAGGAGGATCCCTTCCCTTAAAAATGATGATTGTAAGAGAAGTTTCCAGAAAGCAAGAGAAATTAGAACAACACTTTGAAGAATGAAACGGTTTGGATTAATAGAGATTGTAAATGTGTGGCAGAGAGGGAAAAGGGAGGTAGCCACAAGGAAAGGTGTTACAAGAACACAGAAATAGAGTTAGGAAAATACAACATATATTCAAAGGACCATAAACAAGGCGGTTAGACTGGATAGGAGTTTTTATTTAGAGTTGTGAGAAAGATGAATATGTTTCCAGTGCTTTGCTAGATATTATTTGGCACATTATATCATTACTTCTATTAAAATATAATTCATCTTGAAACTCAGTTTTTACATAAATTGATTTTGATATTGACAATTGTGTATTTCTTTATCTGTTAAATGTCAATCTATCATTATTATGATGATGCTTTTTTCTCACTGACACTACCCGTTACACTAAGATATCATCATGTCAGGAATTTACTTGTTGCTTAAAGATGATGTTTTTTTAATGAATGTATATAATTCAGACTCTAATAGAACTTCCAGAGAAACTTTTTCTAGATGAGAGTGCAAAGTCAAAAAGCAGCAGTTCATACCACTATTTTCTTTTCAGGTAAACCAGTGATGATAGTGACAGAGTATATGGAAAATGGCTCCTTAGATACATTTTTAAAGGTAAGATTTGAGACAAATTTAACTATTCAAAGTGTTATTTGTATATTGGTCATGACATTGAAGTTGAAATTGAGCCACTTTAAAGCTCAAGTTTTAAATAGATAGAAATATCTGGAGTCAGGATAATTATACTCCAAAAATTAACTTCGGTTTGAAAATTGTCCTTTTTAAAAAACTTATAAAATTGAAATTATACGCCTTTAGAGTTTTATTTAAGTGTATATTAACTTGCCCAAAAAACTAAAAGAAAGAGGGAAGGAAGGAAAAAAGGAAGAAAAGAAAAAGAAAAGGAAGGAAAAAAGGGGGAAAAAGAGAAGCTTTTACAAGTATTTAACTTTCTCAAAGTATGTAACATCAAACAGAGCAAGGAAAAAATGTCTGAAAGGTCCATGCAGATCACTTATATTGATGTAGGGATCAAATAGGCTTATAATCCAGCTGAGGGCCAGCCACTAGCACTTGTACCAGAGGAGCCGTTGGTAACAGACAATAAGCAGTGTTGTTGGATCTTCCTGGTTTCAGGAAAATACCTTTTTTTAATATGTAAGTCTCCAAATTTTAAATGATGACATATCATTTTATTAGCAAATAGCTTGTGCTAGACAATGTAACATATTTTCAGTCTTGATTAAACCTGTAGGCTGGCCATTTTTCACCTTCAATATAGCAACGATTGCTATTGATTAGGAAGAGTGAGGGGACAGTGACACTAATGATGATCATACGAGGGGCCTGTGCATTGGATATGACAGTGGTCCACTGACAAGGCAGACTTCCCTTCCAATCTCCAACCTCTACCAGATTCCTTTGCCAAATTTCTTATCCATATCTTCAAGTTCTCCTGTCTCTTACGCTCACATCATTCCTTTATTTCAAAATAAGCATCAGCTGAGCCTCGTTCTGTGTGTCTGCAGTAAGTTCAATGCCTGTGACAAAGGCAGCACGTGTCCGAGAAATGCTAACATTGTCCTGGTCGTTGCTCAGTTCTCCCCATCCCATGTGCTACTTCAGAGTCTCCCTTTATCTCCTCTGGCCACTTCTTCTTTACTCCAATATACCTATCAGCTTGCTTTTTCTAAAGCACCTCAAAAATGTGCTGTGTTAACCCAGGCAGGCACTAGGTTGGAACGATGAATGCACTCGTCTGATGACTGAGAATAAAGAAATTACAATGCATAAAAAGACAACTAAATGAGATTTTTGACAAGGGCTTTTAAAAGCTTTATCTGCTTTGACAAAGCAGAGGACTGATCAACATTACCAAGTTAACTATACATTCCTAACTTTGTCCATTCTCCTTCAGATAGAAATTGCACATGAATTTGGTGATAGTATTAATTTGTGGATTGAAGGAAGATCCTTTTATGTTTTCCCCCACTGATTGGTGTTGCTGGACTAATATTTCTACATCATCTTTACAGAAAAACGACGGGCAGTTCACTGTGATTCAGCTTGTTGGCATGCTGAGAGGCATCGCTGCGGGAATGAAGTACCTTTCCGACATGGGCTACGTGCACAGAGACCTTGCTGCCAGAAACATCTTAATCAACAGTAACCTTGTGTGCAAAGTGTCTGACTTTGGACTTTCCAGAGTGCTGGAAGATGATCCTGAGGCAGCCTACACCACAAGGGTAAGATCTAACAGAATGCATTTCTGGAACACTAGACGAGAGGCTTTTAATTTTCAACAATTTTAAAGGAAATGGCAAAAGGGACATTCCGCCAACATAGGAAGACGAAGAAGTGGGAGATGAAAAATCCACATAATTCTTCTTATTAGATTTCAGGAAATTTAAATATTAAACTCAGATAATCAAAATATTCACTTTACAAATCTCAATAATTCATTTTTTCCCTAGAGACACTGAAAATAAAAAGTTTGAGTTCAAAGTGAATACAACAATGTAAAAATTATGTAGTCTTAAATGTAAAAGAAAAAGTTAAAGAATCTCCTACATTAAAAGCAGTAAATATATTATGCATATACGTGAATATATAAACATGTATAGCATTATGGGGTAACAAACTCTTTGCAATATAGTGTATTCACTTGTAAAACAAATACAGAAACACCCAAACCTAAGGGTTCATATGGTAGGGAACAGAAGAACTAGTCCTTCAAAAAGTTTTGCTTTGCTGAAGGTATTTTAATGCCTAATTACTTTTCTTACATGCTATGTAAACTATTAAACCCACATCTATGGAAAATTGGTCACTAATTCATATTGTCATAATTAGCATAAATCAACACCCTTTTCCAGCAGTAATTGCTTCCTGAGTTGATATAGAATATAACTGACAATTCTTTCTGTGGAAAACTGTGGCTAATGGTACAATAGAATTTTCTGGACAGTCTATGTATTGTGCTTCTTGAGTTTGAGGCTCTGATGATAAACTATATTTGTTTAATTCTTCCTCTTTTCAACGTCAGGAAAACATGAAGTTAGCTATCTTCAATGTTTAAATTCCTTGTGAACATAGGACTTCATCATTGCAGCTTTTTCACTATACCGTTTGGTTAACTTGTGTTTCAACACAGAAGAACACTTTTTGTCATCTCTCGTTCTTAAGATAGATGTGCCACCATTTTCGTATTTAATTCAACTTTTAAAAATTACTTCTGCTCATAGTCTGAAAGTAAGCTCTTTTCATAGATGATAAGGCTTTTTTTTCATTGTTGCTTTGTGATTCACGGATATTTAGGGATTATACTGTACTAAAGATCAAGAGTAACTCATTTAAGGAAACAAAGCCTTCTAATGGTCAGCTTAATAAATCAATAAATTAATTGATGGGCTATCCCTCTTCTTCTGGACCTAATTATCATTGTCATTATTTGCATTAAATGAAACTTCAATTAAGAATTCTCCTGGATTAAGAGTTACGCTTAATAAACTTGGCCTAAACTAGAATGGGGTTATAGAAAAACCCATTCCCAGTATGAATGGCTGGTGTCTTACTTAAATGCATAAAGTGGATTTGTCAAGGTCTGTGTCAACGTGTCATGGTGGGGGAGGGGAAAAGGGAGAAGCAGGGAGGCACAGATCCTGAGTCCCTCTAGACTTACTTCTCTGAAACGGGGCATGGTGGCAGTTTGTGGGAAGTCTGTATACTGAGAGATGAGAAAATAAGGGAACTTCAGGTAATATTGATATCAAAGATGAGGGTCAGGGGCCAGCCTGGTGGCGCAGCAGTTAAGTGCGCACGTTCTGATTCAGCAGCCCTGGGTTAGCCGGTTCAGATCCCGGGTGCAGACATTGCGTCACTTGGCAAGCCATGCTGTGGTAAGGGTCCCACATATAAAATAGAGGAAGACGGGCACGGATGTTAGCTCAGGGCCAGTCTTCCTCAGTAAAATGAGGAGGATTGACAGCAGTTAGCTCAGGGATAATCTTCCTCAAAAAAAAAAAAAAAACAAAAACGAAAAAGACGAAAGTCAGAGGACTAGGAAAAAAGTTCTAAGCTGAAGTTTAAAGTAACCAACAAACTACAATTTTAAAAGGAATAGTAATAATATATTACAGATTTTCACAACGACACATAGCCGGGCCTAGTGATGTGATCTTGCTTATGAATATTTAATTAACAAAAATGTGTTTTGAGAAAATCTCTTTAAAGTGCTGTTACCATATATCTAAGGAGCAAATAACTCAAACTTAGTTTGAATAATTCACATTAATTTCATCTCGCAGGACAATTTCAAGCATTACGTGAAACTGTTATTTCCTCATATGTCTTCAAACTATGGTTCATAAAGAGCAATTTAAGTCTCATTTTTTTAGTATGTGAATCAAATTATTTCCTCTCTGCAAAATGGGAAGGCATAAGGTAGTCTTTTTACAAGAAAATATTCAAAAGTTATACTCCCTCTCTTTCTCTCTCTCCTTTAATATATTTGTGATTATAGATGAAACGTTTGGTTTCCTGGGTTTGCCTGTTTTTAATAAGAGAAAAAAATTCACCCTGAAAGGAGTAGAATATAAGTGTTTATTTTGCGAACTAAGAGAAAACCTACCAAACCAATTTTTTTCTTCTTCTCCCCAAAGCCCCTCAGTACATAGCTGTATATTCTAGTTGCAGATACTTCTGGTTCTGCTATATGGGACCCTGCGTCAGCATGGCTTGACGAGCAGTGCTAGGTCCATGCCCAGGATCTGAACCGGCAAAACTCTGGGCTGCCAAAGCGGAGTGCCCGAACTTAACCACTTGGCCGTGGGCCGGATCCCAAACCAATTTTTTTACTAGGTTAAAAAACTTCAAACTTGATAAAATATTGTAAATTTTTCCCCATAATCTCATTTCAATGATTTCTAATTTGGTTGAATTAAATGAGATACCTACCTCTTAGGTTAAAAAAAACGTCTAACTGAACAAACACAAAAATATACCAACAGAAAATAAGAGAAATTCGGTCTAACAGAAATTGCACAATGTTGGGAGAAAGTATAACTAAGTTTTTAATGCATCTGATTTTAAAGCTTGTGTTATTAACTGTTAAACTTCTCAGGGTTGCATTCAACAGCAAAGACTTTCCATTTATAATTCCTGTGTTAAAGATAAAAGAAAGAAAACACCCCGGGAATTTGAGTCCTTTACTCTGTATTAGAAAGTCATGAAAGTATACCTTATTGATTTGCTTGACTGCCTGCTTTCCCCACTTACAGCTGCCATCCTGATACTGGAATTGAGATGTGGGTCCTGTATGTGTTCCAGTAGTCAAACAGAATTTAAACTAGAAAGCTTCCGGACAGCCAATTAGTAGTCAGCCTACCAGTGCTTATGGGCTGAGATATGTGAGAAGACTGCATGCTGTCAAACAGATTCACTTAAAAATGCTACATCTCTTTCTAGATCTTTTCAGTGAGGCAGCAATATCCCTAGATACATTTGGAGTATGTGGGAATTTTTTTTATTCTTTTTCAATTTTAGGGAGGCAAAATTCCAATCAGATGGACTGCCCCAGAAGCTATCGCTTTCCGAAAGTTTACCTCTGCCAGTGATGTCTGGAGCTATGGAATCGTGATGTGGGAGGTTGTGTCTTACGGAGAGAGACCCTACTGGGAGATGACCAATCAAGATGTAAGTATGGAGCTACTCCCCCTCGAGCCTGGAATGTAATGCTTTGCTCTCTGAGTCAGGGGACTTACAAGATTTTTCATTTCTGAAAATGACAATTGCTTAAAAAAATAAAAATACTTTGCTTACCCTCTGATCTGTTTTGTTGTTGTTGAAATTTCTCTTATGCGGAAGCTCAAAATAAGTTAGTCCAAAGGAAAGTAAGTTACCGTTATATAAAAGCTCAGTCCCTTGCCAGACTGTTCCAACTGTACCGTAGTGATGTTTCACTCATTTTATGTCAGTATCATTTTCAAAGATGAAGAAAGAGCCATCAAAGAATGAATACTGACAGCCAAGTTTTTATGATTTACATTTGATAAAGGCAGCTAATGCTCCAAACCGAAAGGATGGACCATATTAATTTAATAGAGGATGCTCTTAGAGGATAAAAAGGAATGATCTACGTTTCTTTAAATTGAAAAGTATAGGAAGAGTTGTATTGTCAGTTTAATTTGGGAAAGAAACAAATTCTTTCCCCACACGTAAAAGTAATTCATGCTTAGAATAATAGAATCCTAGAATTAAAGGAACCATGAAATAATCTTCTATTCAAGCTTAGAATGTTTATCACATGATGCCTGACACGCAGCTCTTTGGTTTTTGCTTTTGTAATTTTCCATTGTTACTATTCAATATGTCCCTTTCCCTTTGGATCACATTGAAATTTGATATCCTTTCTTCAAATAAGCAATTATAAAGGCTTTTATAAAATATTTTATAAAAAGAAATAAAAACATTTATTGAGTCCTTACCATGTGCCATGCACTGTTTTAAGTGTTTTACCAACATTACTTGCATTACTGCTTTATAAAACAGTATATTGAACAGTCTTAACTCAATGCCATGCTTATTTAAAACATTTATTTTTTTCCTCCAATTATTTCTTTCATCCTTGCTCTGTAAAATCTCCCTTTCCTAGGCCTTCAGGGGTTATTACATGGGTACTATAGCTCTCCAGCCTCATTTTGTTGAAACAACAGTCCTATGCCAGTGAGTAAAATTCACTTTCAGATACAAAAATCCAAGTCCAGTCTGAATCAAAGTCAATCCTATATCCATTTCAAAGTGTTTTCCACAGTTGCAGGGCCAGCCTGACCCTCGGTACATAGATTGGGAAGGAAGAATTGTCAGATTATTGCTCCTCCTTCTCTGCTAAAGTCTGTATTAGATTTTTCAGGATTGTTTTGGATGGAAAAATAGAAAAGAAGAGACAAGGTTGTGTGTATAATGTTGGTTTGTTGCTGCCTCCCGTGGGGCAGAAGCCCAAACATTAGTACTCTAGTGAGGTGTATGTATGAGCTTTTTCAGAGACCCTTGGTGAAGGCCTCCTCTCTGCAAGGTCCTTAGAGAGGAGGATGTACTCTAACTGACTTCTCACAGTTCCTCCCACTTGCTGCCTACTCCCTAGAGTCTCTTGCTGTACCTTACACATGTCTGTTTCACCAGTGGGAAACACATTCTCGTTGGATGTTCTACCAGGGTTCTCTCCTTCGGATGCTATTGCACGCTACCCCAACCAGCCTGCCTTCTTCAAATTTCCCCCAGGAAATATCTCACAGCATTCTTCTCGGATAGCAATAGTAAATTAGGCTGGTGGATTCCTGCCTCTCAACAAGGATACAGCAAGGCAGTGGTCTCCCCTTCTTGTAGTCATCTAAAATTGCTACAATTTATTTTCTTTGTGCCTGGCTCACCTGGCTTAGGCAAAGGGTGCTGACTTGTGTTTCTCTAAATTTGAGAGAACATATTATCTATTGTCTTCAGCTTTAATGATTTTAGGAGTAGGACTATGGTAAAAGTATCATTAATTCTTGTTATATATTAAACAACCTATTAGAGAGATATTATTATTATTCCTATTTTGCAGTTAAGAAACTGAACCTTAAAGAGATTAAATAACTTTCTTAAGATCTCAAAAATAATAACAGTTATAACAGAAATTGCTAGCTGGTTCTCCAAAATTTTTGTACCTAAGCACCACAGTGTCTCCAATTGATTCAATGTCAAATTCCTCCCTTTCATTTTCAACGAGTGATCCTAGATCAGTCTTCTAATTGAATATAAAATATTCAATTCAATATATAATGATTACTCTGGATTGATCTAGTCTAGACGAAGACCAGACCTCTTTGCTACTGTCTATTCTCCAGATAAATGCCAAATGCTAACTTGAGCTACAGAGCACTGCATGGTTTGGCTTCTAACTTGTTTTGAGGCTCATTTCAATGCCATTCTTTGCTTTAATTTTTGTGAAAGCATTTTATTCTGCCTTGTCAACAAGCCTGGTCCTCATCCTCAAAGAAAGCATTTGTCCCTTATTTACCTAGTTAACTCCTTCTCACACTTGAGTTATGTTGAATTCCAATTCTATCACTCAAAATCATTAGTCCTTTCGAACCGTGTGCATGATATGTGAAGGATTATCATCCACATTATTGGCGATTATGCCTGATATAGTCATATCTGTCACAAATAAAATTATAGACCAAAGTAGAACATGATGCTAAGTGAATGATTGTAAATGTTTCTGCTGATCTTGACTGGACTTGCTGGAGTCCCTGGGGGTTGACTGAGCTGTGCTAGCACACCTTGGCTGTCCTCCACATGGCCCTCATTTTCTTTCCAGAGACCAGCGGGCTAGCCTCGATGTGACCTCACTTGCCAAGTGGCTGAAGGACAAGAATGAGCCCAGTTGCATTTCACCCTGCAATATCCCATTGGCCAATCTCATAATCAGAGGATTGGTTAAATTGCCCTGCTCATTGTGAGTGGACAATATAAAGTCACATGGAGAAGGACACAGAAACAAGGAGGTGTGAAGGATTTGGGACAAATTTTTTCCTAATTTCAGCCAATTGAGAGTCCTGATGCTCTTCCAGATAACTTTATTTCAAACTATTTAGAAAAATTTACAAAAAGTGCTCTGTTTACAAGGAGTGCTGATATCATCTTTTCAGGAAGTTATAAAAATAAAAACGAATATTTTCGCTTTGGCTGGGTTTTCCAAGGATCTAAACGAAGTTTACCAGAAAATGATTATGTAATTACAGATCCTTCTAAAATATCTGCCTTTAATAGGGTGTCCAGTACATGATTTGTATTTCCTCAGCAAGTTCATGATCATTAGTGGCATTTAGTTTCTAGATATAGCACTAAGTTTGATATGCCTCAATTTCTATCCAAATTTGTATCCAAGAAATGTGACAGATCTACTGTATTTGAAGATCATGATCACTGAATATGTCTTTGGAGAAAAATTCTCAGAGAGTAAAGGAGAAGTACTGATTTGGCAGTTTTGAGTGATATAGCCCATAATCTCTGCATTCCAAATACTATCTGATTCTAAAATGGAAATGTTACTTTACAAAGACATGCAGAATAATCTAAATCTCTCAGAGGAGACCTTCCACTGTGTCTCGGGGATTGAATGCTGCAGTAGCTTTCTTTTGATTTAGGACTGCCTCTGTCATCACAGAGAAAAACCATAACAACACATAACAAAAATCAACTGGAATGACTAGGATGATTTTAGGTAAATACCAGACCCTAAACTCTAATTGAAGTTTAGGAAACTAAAATAATATCCTATAGTAAGTAGAAGCTTCTTTATTGGTAGCAAACATTTTAAATGTCAACATTTTTCAGAACTTAAAATGGAAAGCAAAATAAGAAGAGATTTCATTGCATTTTTATATTTAGTGACAGTGTCTTTCTCTTGTATTTATTGGGAAATGTGTAAATGCATAGATTATACTAAGCACATAGATTATAAAAAGTTTTAAAAACTCATTTAAGTAATCTGTTTTTCAATCTTCTCGTGTTAGAATTATTTTTGTCCTTTTCTTTTTTTTTTTTAGGCAGTCCATTTTCCATTACTATTTCTGTTGGCCTGGATCTTACCTATAAGGTGCATGAATATTTAACTCCAAAAGGATGTCAACCCACTTTGTAGTTGACGTGTCTCTCTCCCTCTTTCTATTCTTCGTTTCAATTTCGATGGAACAAAATTTTATATACATATATATATATATATATATCTCATATGCTGGAATATTTTGTGTTAAAACGAAAAGAATATTTTATGGTAACATACAGCATGTTGTAATTACCTAAAGTATGAGGAGTTTAATTCTCATGCAAATACTGCAAATCACCAAGATTTGACAGTAAGCAAATTGTTCGGCTTCTTAGCCTTAGTGTAGTAATGTCTAAAATGAGTGTAGTGGACGAATGAATATTGGTCTTCTGAGATAATATTGGTGTTCCAAGGATGATGCTGCCCCTGGATGCAAGTAATTATGTTAGAGATTGATTACCTCATGGTAATTCTTGCTCCTTTGGAACAAGTGATACATATAGAAATATCAATTCTTAATTCCAAAATCCTGTACCTTGCTATTTAACAACAATAACAACAAAATCCCCAAAAAGCAAAAATCTTGAACTGAAAATCAGTCATCTTGGATGCTGTAACTCTTGGTCATTTACAATGATTATAAAGAGAATGGACTTGAATAGAGGATTTCTAAGATATCTTTAATCTCTGGAACTCTATTGATCTAATAGTGATGTCCTAAGGTAAAGATGTACTCAATATACCTTTATTAACTCTGGAAACAGGAAAGAAATCCTAGAAAAAATGAATGTATCTGGAACTATTTTTATGGTATCTGAGATTGTTTCCAGAGATACATTATTAAATTCTAGTCACTTATGGGGAGCTTCATATCTCATAGTAATAAAATGATTCATATGTGAGAATTCAAATAAATACCTTGCAGTATAGGCACTCACACCCTACATAGAGCTTAATTCACCAAAACACACAGCTGATGCTCAAATTCTGCATACAAACTTTCTGCCACTCAGTTATCCAGCTTATACTTTCACATCTCCTATGATGAATCATTCACTGTCTTCCAAAATAGCTCATTTTAATTCTTGATATTAATTTTTCTTCTGGCGAAAGAAATCTGATTCCATGTGGTAAGAGCCATATCTCTTCCAAATTATTTTCTTGGGATGTAATTATTTCTAATTCCAATAGTGTTACTTAGCACCAGGATAGAAAGATCATAGGTTTTCTTGCCAAAGAGACTTAAATGTGAATCTTACCACTGCTACTTCTTAGCTGTGTAAACAGGGATTGCTTAAACTTCTGGAATCTCAAGTGTTTCATCTGTAAAATGTGTATAATAATTTCTGTCTTGCAGATATATGGAAAAATTAATGTAGATAATATACATATAATTTGCATCATCGTACCTATAATATAATGCCTGGGCTAGTCTAGATCCTTCTAGAAGCCTGTGCCAAGAGGGAATTTGATATACATTAGTATTATTAAGAGGAAACGCTTATAAGGAAAAAAGAGAGATGTAAGATTATAATATAGGTCCGATCTCAGGTATAGTAGAGATGGAAGGAAGGATGATTAAGTGCAAGCATCTGAAACTAAAGTGCAGTTCTAAGAGAGGTTGGCAAGATTGCCAGGGAGAGTTCTCAAGACAACGTTGCCTATCGTAGGACTTTCATAGGAATGAACCTATCTTATTTCACCGTTATGCTTAATAATTGACTGGGAGGAACCTATGCAAAGGATAGCCTTAGAGTAAATGTGATGATGAGTTTTAGAGGGTTTAGGGTTAGCGGTTGTTGGTCAGTTACCATCCCTGCAGGTAAAGATCTGAGAGAGAAATTTCCATGGTCCCCGCGTTCTACCCCTTTTGCAGTTCAGACCTACTTCTCCACACAAGTTCAGGGAACATCTGCTCCATGGTTCTGTGGGCTTTTATTCCTGACGGAGAACTCAGAAGAGGCAGGTTATGGACTGAAGTGCAGCCCCTGTGGCTTCTGTTGATCTCGGAACCTCACCTGGTCCTTAGCCTCTCCCTCCTCCACTGTCCATTCAGAATTTGCCTCATCATAGACTTGGCAGATCCTGGCTTAACTGCGGTCTGAGTCAATGCTTCATTCACAGGGTTAAGCATGTTTAGGCCACAGTTGTAATAAAGGAGTAACAAGAGAGCCCCAAGTGTACATCTTGGTTCCACATGTATTTCTCCTCACCCCAACTGTGTGAAAGCACCTCAAATGCCTCCCGCTGCTCAGTATTTATTACTTTTGCCATCATGGTGACTCCCCTTCTCTTCTGCTTGAACCTGGGCACAAGTGGTCCAAAGTGCCCTCGTGAAAGCCATAACTGTCAGTTTGGTGGAACCCTTGCTGTGCCCCCTGGCAAGAGTCACTGGGAATAAAACACAATATAGAAATTTTTTATTTAATACAGATACTACATCTTGAATAATGGCACCAACTCCTTTCAAAGTGTTGCCTCCAAGCTGGTGCTTCAGCTGTGCCTTTAAAAGGCCTTCTGACATCTGCGAGGCTTGTTGCTTCTGGATGATGCGCTAGGTGTGGTAGTTGCTAGAACCAGCTGCTACCAGCTGGTGAATTTCCAGAACATTTCTACCTGAATGAAATTATATTGGTAGCTTGCAATTGACGTGGAGGGAGTTATTATATCACATAAATGAGAAAATGTTATAAATCTGTTTCCCTCACAAAAAGAGCTAGTTGTTAAATATTTACCAGCACATCACTGAGTACGTGATGCTCTCACGCATCCTTCACTATAAAGTGAGTGACCTGGTTGCGTGGTATGCTAGGTGGGGTTGCATCTTTGTGGATCAAGCATTCCGACCATGTAATGCTGGCTGAGGCTCTGAGGGCAGCAAAAGCGTACTGTACCCAGAATAGGTATATATACCTGAAAAGATGAAAAGATGTCAATGCTAAGAAAATGCAGAGCTTATGATAGTATTTCAGATATAGGACATCTGAAATGATGCCAGATTGTAAAAAGTTTGGTTGTCTTTTTATCTTTTCCCCTTTTCTTTCCTTTGTTCATCTCAACCACCTAGATGAACAAATGGAACAGTAATAGCAAAGTCAATTGAGATCATGATTCATCTGGTTATACATTATGCACTGTGTGGTAAATGAACAGCCTAAATTGCACTGCAGTAGATTTCCAGCATTTCACAAACGACCAGAATACGAATGCCTTTCATTTCTCACCCAAACTATGAAAGAAATAACAGGCAAAAACGAAAAAAAAAAGTTTCAAAATGGCTAAATATAAAACCTAAAGTGCAGTTCTGAATCTATTTTAAAGATAAATCCCAAAGATGCATTTAGAATTAAATTCAATGACCTAATTACCTGGGTCAAGTTCTAAGTTAATTTAGAGACAGGGTATATATGATATTTCTATATATAAATTTATCTGAAAGTAAAGCTGATTAAGTAATATAATCTAAAAATAACTCCTCAGCTCAAATAATTTATTAAATTCCTTTAAAACTAAGGAATTGGTTTAGTTTATTCATTTGAGAGTCACATATAAAGACTAGCTGCACAATGGAGGAAAGACAATATTTAAAATAGGCATAAAAGAAATAATAGAACCAATTAGAAGCAGCTTTGGAAAAACACATTATGAAATACATCAGGTTTTAAATCAAGAAGATTCACTGTTTTCACTGCCTAGGTAAATATTTCATGATATAAACTATATTAAGACATTTCATTTGTAGTTCATTTATGTTGTTAAAAAAATAACCACTGTCTTTGTCAGTGGTGAGGAATCTTAGAATAAGCAAATTAATAAATAAATGAACTTCCATTAATATATGAGTGCAAATGGTACTTTTTATTGTTTCACTGTTCATTTATTTGATTACCAGCGAAAATAAATATTTTCTGCAAATTTATTTAGCATTTTTATATTTCTCTTTTATAAATTTTTGGTTAATATCTAATTCTCATTTATCTCTTGTCATATTATTTTATTTCTCAATATGCATAAGCTTTTAATACATTAGATATGTTAACCATATGTTATAGCTTATGTAATATTTTCTACTGTGGTCTGCCTTTTAATTTTTTGTATTGTTTTCTGAGTTGTTAACTTGTTAACTAAGGTAGGTGACTCGCAGGCATTTTGCTCACAGTTATTCAGTTATTTATCTATTTATTTTGAGAGTCCTTGAGTACTTTTTATTTTGCTGCCTGAACTTAACTATTGATCCTTCTCAGGAAACTTTATTTTATGCCCTTCCCAGGGAGATATAAACTGCACCTGATTTCAAGCTGTGACTGGGTGCTTATTACCCCCACATTTATAAGTCCAAATAGTTCCTGTGCTCTAGCCACATTCCTGCAAATTGCCCTGAGAGTGTTCCCCACTCACCTCAAATAAAACAAGCCCCAACTATAACTGTCAACGTTCTCTACCCCCAGTTTGTGCTTGCCTAAAGTTAACAGCAGCAACGTCTAGGGTGGTGGGCTGGAACCTGTTTTATCTCAAATACTTTCTCTCCTCCCCACTCTATGCTTGTCATAAAAGTCCTTAAATCTGCCATTTCATCTTCTTTCCATCTGTCACCGCTCTTGTTCAGATGCCATTGCCTTTATCATAGAGAGACTGGTTTCTTTCTAATCATTCAAAATCATCCTTGTAAATTTCCTATTGTAATCATTATATTTTTTACATTTGTCAGATCAAATCTAAAGTCTTTTTGAGAAAATGTAGTTCTGTTTAATTTTTAAGGAAATATTCATGATAGGGTTTTGAGAAATATATTCTTTATTATTGGTTTTGGGTATCACTTAAATATTTGGTTTTTAATAATTGAATAAAATAAGCATTATTATATTTAGTAGCATAAATAGATTTCTTCTGGAGTTGATGGCATCAGCCACATTACAAATGTTTTTGATAGAACAATCTCACAATTAGGCTGCTACTCATATGTGTGGTTACGTTTAACATTAATGATATTTCTAATGCTGGTGATACGAGACAGTTATTCCAAGTTCCTGACAGAAATCAGTAGATGATAATAAACAGCCAGACCTTGACATTATTAAATGATACATGAGACAGTTATGCTAATTTAGCCTTTGACTTATCCCTCATTTACTATCCAAAAGTTTCTTTTGAAGTAAAATTGCAGTTCTGTGACTTTAAAAAATGTGGTTCTGCACGTTTCATTAAAAAAAAGTACCTTTTTAGAGAAATCGCTAGAAAACTTAATCTCTATTTGATTCCAGAATGCAAGGATAAATAAAACATGAACTGTTTGTTTTTATGTCAATTAACTTTACAAATCACCCTTCATCAAGATTTTAGGTAAAAATGATTACCATTTATTTTCTTTATAATCTGTGAAGAAAGCTTATCTTTTTATATTGTGATAGTATATTTATTTCTTTATGTTGTTTTATTTTGCTGTAAATGGGAGTAATCGGGGATTTTAAAGATAGTGATGCTAGTCATTATTGCGAAAGTAAGAATAAGAAAGGATGAAAGTTGGATAGTGGGAAATTTCTCAAGCTATGCTATACTAAATTTGTGGTGTTGGGAATGGTTCTGTTTTGCTTTGCACAGGTGATTAAAGCAGTTGAGGAAGGCTACCGTCTGCCAAGCCCCATGGACTGTCCTGCTGCTCTCTACCAATTAATGCTGGATTGCTGGCAGAAAGAACGAAATAGCAGGCCCAAGTTTGATGAAATCGTCAACATGTTGGACAAGCTGATACGTAACCCAAGTAGCTTGAAGACGCTGGTTAATGCATCGAGCAGGTACAAGGCCAGACCTGAGAGATTTTCCTGAATGTAACTAATTCAGATTGATGCCACAAATATGAAATCAGTTAAATTATTTTTGTACACGTTAATGTATGAATCTATATGACACTGATTTATTTTAATTAGTTTTTGCATAATGTTACTCCCTTACAATGAATGAGATATAAAGATTAAATTATATTTAAAAGTATCTTGACCTGACCTAATAGTGTCACACGCCAGTTTCAGAAAAATGTCAACTGTAGTCAAGTTCAAGTGGCATAAAAAAAAACCCATTCAAATGCTTGTGTTTTGATGTGTTTTGGATCCCACATAGGTGTAGATGGGGGAAAACATGATTACAATAGGGAAAAGCCAATTAAGCACTGATGCATTTTAAACTAGAGATATATAACAATAGTTGCTTTTCATTTCTTTCAAATAGATTTCAGTGTCTGTCATATTTTAAGAACATTGCCAACCCCTATAGGAACCCTTTGCTCCTGTCCAATTGTACACAGATAGTTGGCTAACTAATCATTTACTGCGCAGTTTGAACAAAACTTAAAACTGATAAATGAGTAATTTTGTGGAAAAAAATTTGTAGGAGAAAATGAGCATTTTTAATTTTTATTTTATTTTTTTTTGCTGAGGAAGATTCACCCTGAGCTAATATCTGTGCCAACCTTCCTCTATTTTGTATGTTGGATGCCACTACAGCATGGCCACCACTGAGTGGTGTAGGTCTGTGCCTAGGAACTGGGCCTGGGCCACTGGAGCAGAGTGTGCTGAACTTAACCACTAGACCACAGGGCCAACACCGAGCATGATTTTTTTTCCTTTTCTGAATGCACATGAATTCATTTAGATAATGTTGTATGTTTGTAAAGCATGCTTTTCTCTTTAAACTGAAAGATTACAGAATTATACTCTCAAAAAATAAATCAGTTTGATTCTGTACTAGAAAATTTACCAGATTGTTATTTTCTCTATACTAAAAGCAGTTGTCTATTTTTACAAGCAAAAGCGTCATGGCAGTAATTGAATTGACTGACTATTAGCATGAGCTAAATGAGAAACAATTCATTGGCAAAGTTACATAAGTTCTGTGATTCTGACATAGCACTTGTTTACTAGGCGAAAAGTCATGTTTAAATACAAATGAAGAATGAACTGTGTTCAGGCCTCATTAACTTTCTTTGGTAGAAACTGGAGAATGCATCTTCTTCGTGATTATTCCTTATGTTGTTCCCAAAATATCTGCTTTTAAATTGTTTATTATCGTGTAAAATATTATTTCTCTCATCCACTTGTTTGAATTATGTTCAGTTGTCACAAATGGACATAAGGAAAGGAAATCATAAACAGATGTTTTTATGTTCTAAATTGTGTTAATTTATATCATCATCATCATTACCACTTGAAAGCAGTTTAAATATCTCAAAAGAATTTTCGTATTTCCTTGTGTGCAATATATAGAATAAAGTTGCTAGATTTCATTGAAACAGATTTGGCTTAAGACTACACCATTCTCTATCTGTCTTTATTCAGTCATCTACAAATCCTGATTCTAGAAGGTGTTAGTTCCTAATTCATTATCTCTTTCTCTCTATTCTACCCATGTCACAAAACTTGGTGACTTCAGCAATCATGTCGATGATGTTTGAATCTCTCTCTATACCTGGAAATTTTCTCCTTCAGTGATTTTGATCTCTAATCTACTTTGGACTCTTCTTCTCATAGTCATGTTCTAGACTTTGCTATTACCAAAAATTGCAACTGCTCCGTAATCTCAACTTCAACATCCTACTTTCCAGCTGTTTCCTCGTATATTTCAATCTTTGACCTCATTGCTTAATGGCTACAACTCACTACAAGATATCCATTTATTCATCTAACAACTGCTTATGTGTCTACTCTATGTCATGCTGTGGGCTAGGTGCTGAGTATGCAGTGTTGAGCAACACAATGACGGGGGAGAGATATTGAACAAAAGGAAACATTAAAATCAACTTTGGTTTTGGAGTGGAGAATAAGAGTAGAGATTAGGAGGATAACTAGGATGCTAGAATAGTCTTGCAGGTAAGAAATGATGATTTCTTTAACCTGGGTAGTGACAAATCGTATAAGGAGTAGTGGTCAGATGTGCAATATATTAGAAGTAGAATGGATGGTATACGCAACAATATATTGTGAAGGGATTGAGGACAAGGATGGAGCACACTGTTGTATCACATACCATAATAGGGAGCATGAAGTAGGCATATGAATATATGAGAGACTTAGGCTGGAGGCGAAAATTGGAGAAAAATAGGTGCTATCTGAAACATGAAAATGGGTAAAATTCCTAGAGCAAAGTCTAGAAGCAATTGATTACACAAACTATCCTGTGTCTCTATATTTGGTAACATTATCAGTATTATTTTTACAAACAAAATAATAGCAGGAAGTAAATGCATCTGAATCACTACGTTGAATTTTTAGCTAATGTTCTATATTAAGAAGATTTATTTATTAAGCCTTTATAAGTCCTCATTAACTATGGGTAAAAAAAATCTGAATAGACTGATTTTGTGTTCTGTCTTTCAAAATATTATTCTCTTTCATTTTAGCTTTTGTATATTTTTCCCTTATAAATATACTTATAGAGCCGAAGACCTATTGATGATGAGCTAACATTACAATGTAATTCGTTATAAAAGAGTTAAGATGTTGCTTTTAATGTTTATGTTTTATGTGTTTTAGAGTATCTAATTTAATGGCAGAACACGGCTCACTGGGATCTGGGGCCTACAGATCAGTAGGTGAATGGCTAGAAGCAATCAAAATGGGCCGGTATACAGAGATTTTCATGGAAAATGGATACAGTTCAATGGACGCTGTGGCTCAGGTGACCTTGGAGTGAGTAATTTTTCTGATAATTTTTACATAATTGCTGGGGCGAGAAAACTTGTTCAGAAACCAATCTGGATGAGGTCAAGGGAAATCAGTTAACCTTTGTCCATGTGTGGCAGCTTTCAAAGAAACCTCTTCTTTTTTAGCCTGTATTGTTAACAACTGCATGGTTAATGCTACTTGTGGCCCGTATCTTTGCTTCCAACAAATATTTAAATAATTGGAATAACAGCTCCTTGGCAAAATACTGGTATTTTGTGTTGTGGAAAAGATGTTTTCTTGACAAAGTTTTTATACTGGTACCTATGTTATATGAATGTAAATACAAAACGAAACAACTGTAAGCACAATTGGTGTGGCTAGTCCTACGCAAAAACGAACACAGTCTTAAATTTTGGCTTTGATGAATACCCAGGTAACAACAGCTTAAACAAAGCTCCCCAGGCAGGAATCTCATTTAATCTCTAAGTGGTGCACCTTATATTCTTGCAATCCAATGATATGGTAGATCCTGCCTCTGATTTGTTATTTGGTACAATCTCAGTGGAACCAATTGTGCCCTTTTCTGTTTGCACGTTTAAGCTAAAATTTATCAAATCTTATTAAATAAAAAACACTAGAGTTAAATATTAAATTCTTTAAGGTTGTAAGTTGTTTGTATTTTATTATATACTCTGTATGTGTAATTATTTTAGCCTAATATTTATTTGTGAAAATTAACTGTCGTTATGGTGGTTCCATCTAGATGACATTAACATGGATAATGTTTTAACCTGTGAATATAATGTTAACTTACTTTGAATTACCTACAAATTCAAAGGTTAAAATATTGTTGTAAGTATTAGAACATGGTAGAACATTCTAAAGCACTAAACCACAGTCCTTATTCCATTACTTCACGTGATATGAGCATTGAGCAGTTCTGTCTCACCATTTCTATTCTGGCATTTTCTGATTCATTGAATTCACTGCCTATCCACACAAAAGGTTACAGGGTACCATCATTTATCACCAGTTAATGTCACATTCTCAGTACTTCTCTTTCTTTATATCTATAACTAAAGTACCTAAAATCACCACTCAGCTTGCTCTCTTGATTTACTGAATCTCATTCTCACCATCACCACCAAGTCATATCTAGTTAATGACACATATGCTTTGCCCATTATTTCTTTGGACACTCAAAGAACTCATTTGTGCTATATTTAAAATAGTAAACAGAAAATTTTACTGATAATTTTAAACTATTTTTACATGATTGCTATTTAATTTTTCAGTAAAAAATGGTCATTTTAATTTATTAAAGTCATTTGTCATTTTATATTAAAATGATACTGTAGGTATTTCTTCTACCCAATGTCAGATTATTTGTAAATATATAATAAAATTATTTGCATTAAACGATGTCTCTTTTTTTATTAAAATAGAACATACACATATATGTATTTATATCCACTACTTTTTTCCTTTTCCTTTCACAGAATAGTTATAATCACAAATATGTTTTTTTCGTTGACTGCCTCTATTTTACTTTTTCTCTTTGGGGCCCCAGAATACTATAAGTATGTTGAATATTTTAGCATTATGGTTTCACTGTTTTTTATTTCCTTTAATCCTTTTCTCTTTACTTTCCTATTGGCCCCTCTATCCTCAAACTCTCTTCACATTGTATGTTTTTCTTTCAAGTCATAATAGCTTCTTTTACCTTGTTATGATGGTTCTCCACTTCATTTCTATTCTCCAGTAATTTTTGTCTGGTGAGTTTCTCTCTACTTGGTGCAATTTCTTCTCTCTACCTCTGTTACTCTGGTAGCTTGTTTCCTTTTCCTAGATTGCCTCCTTTCAGATATTTTGTCTTTTAATTTATTAACTCTGGTAAGAAGAGTAAAGTGAAATTAGAAGACTTAAAACATCTTCCTGTTCAGACAACGTTGGTTTCCATGTGTCAATTGCTTCAGATTCCTGAGCCTATAATAACACGTCCCCTCCTGGGTACCTGGTCAGTAAACCTTAACTCCAGCAAAGCTGATTTCTGGGAGAGTCCAGTACCTTTAAAAATATGTCCTCTTGTTTATTGTGTTTTTGACCACATTTTCCCTATTTGGTAAGAACATATTTATCAAAATATTATGTTAAATAACACAAAAAACTGAGTAATCAGTTACTTGTTTGCTTAAGAATATAAGAAAAAGATTATTCGTGCATTTTACTTGCCCTTCACTGAAAAAAGTCAGTCATTATTAAGGACTTATGGCAAAGGAACTGGGATATCAATAAAGGCAAAAACAAGCTCTTAAACACTTAGATAATGATTTTTTACACATAGTCTTATATCTAAATATTAATTTTATGGAGCCTTTAAAATATATAATAAAATATTATCACCAGTGTTATTGCTAGGGCATAATAGAAACTGAGAACTGGAAGAATACATTCATACTTGTAATAAATACTTAAAAAATTAAAATCAACTAATATAAAGCAAAAGATAAAACTGCCGTATACTTAAACTAGAAAAATGTGTTATCACTTACGCCACCAAGTTTGTTCTCATGATGGGTTTAGAAAAAGAAAGAATAAAAAATTACAATCTTTCAAAACCACGTATTTCGGTAAAAAATTTCCTTCATAAAAATTTAATTTCATTTGTTTATGATTTTTTTTTTTTTTTGCCAATACATGCGTGAATGGCTTACTGTGGAAAGGAAATGAAAAACTTAGAGATCTTAGAGTCAAAATGTGTGCAATGAACGTGGCTTTCAACCTTAGACGTTTCTGTCTGCTGTTCTCTGTGCCTAAACCTTGCTATTCCGTGCCCAGTATTCATGTTAGGACAATTGTCGCGGCAGTAATGGTGCAGTCTCTACCATGGTGTGTAAGTGTAGTGAGTTGTTGTCCACAGGGGGAACTGTAAGCTTGAGGAGAGTTGCAAATTGAATCAAAAGATTTGAATTAAGGACCGTATTACAGCTACTTTTTAAACTTCTTGTCAGACCAGTGCTGTCAACTTTTGATTATTCAGAAAATGAGCTGAAGAGGTTCCAGTTAGTATCTTTTATTAAAGTGGGGGTTTTAAGCTACTAAAATGAAAGTTTCCCAAATCTAGAGCCAAAATTTGCACAAACTAATTCAAATAGATTTCTTAAGTTATTAATAAAGTCATAATGCATAATTTATTATACAGTTAAAGTACACACAGGAGTACTTACTATCCCCTGTGTTCTGTGTAATTAAGCTAAAACTTCTAGTCTAACCCTCACAATGTCTCATCTGTTGAAAATCATGACCAGTCCATGGTTAATCCCATCTTGTCAAACATAAATATATTTATCTTGTACAGTAGATATATAAATGATTATCAGGCTTCTTCTAAATGAACCAAAAAATTCTAGCATACAGCTGCATGATCAAACTATGACAAGAAGAATAAACACTGAACTTTAATGAATATTCGTTTGTGTCTCTTCTCCCTTCTCCTGTCCAGCCACTGTTGGTGGGGTTAAGTACCAGTGAGATGGGTAAAAGGTGTGTAAAGCAGAAGGGAGAAGAATGAGTAAGGGAATGACTCATCCACAAATGAATGAATTAGATCCTGAATAATCAAGAGTTGCTCCGATATCAACTAGACACCTCTTGTTATTCTCTATTTCCCATTCTGCCATTTTAGTATCATAATATTAGTGTTTTCCATTGTTTAATATTATGGAATAACATTTGAAAAAATGCTGGAATGTAATCACAACAATGGCAGTTCATTATATTTGCAGCTTTTCTAAAACTAATCATGCTTTGTTGACAAAATCCAAACTATTTTTTATGTAAGAATACTGTTCTCATCATGTTTAAATTCATAAGCCTATGCTGAAATATAATTTGTCATCATTAGAGTTGGCTTTGGGTATTACTTAAGATTACACGTGGTCATGATAAAATTAGTATAATATTTATAAAGGAGACACACTTAAAACTTTGCCTAGCTATAAAATTTCCTACGTAGAAAAATGAAATAAGTAAAAGAGCATATCTTGCATCATTTCCAAATACCATTGTAAATAGAGCAGCAACTTCATCATTAAATTTAAAATGTTATTTAATTTTTATCAAATTTTTCTCACATTATTCTTGCTAAATTGACCATTTGCCATGTACTTTAAGGAGTAAAATGAGAATTGTTAGAAATCACAAAAAAGAGAGACAAAACTACTTAAAAGAAAATACTTTAATGAATTTAACAGTATTGGAATAAAGTTTTTTAACCTTTACTAGAAACGTTTTGCTAATACTATTTTAATTCTCATTTTTAATATCATTAGAAAAATATTAAATGGGATTTTCTAAGAAACTACTTTGCTGCTAAGAACAATTGTAACTTGCATAAATGATCTTATTTCCCCCCCACTTTAAAATTTCACTGAAAATCACATTGTCTAAAGGTATATGTACATTTCATGCATTATAATCATGCTATTTTCTATACCTCTGCACATTAATTTGACAGCTTTTGAAATGACAGGTAAGATTTTAAAAAACAACAGCGTTCCATTAAAGACACACCTAATTTATGGCAGTATATAAAATGCAATGCTGTGTTTTTATAACTCCATTTCTCCCATGGAAAGAGAGAGAGAGGAGGGATGTGAGAAGGTAGAGAGAGAGGGAGAGGAGAGCGAGAATTTCCCTGGTCTGACCTTCCTTCCATATGCATCTTAGGAATAATCAAATTGTCCGTTGACCTTGAAATAAAATTTTATGCATAGTTCACTGGGAAAATTTAAATAAACTTAAAATCTAGACAAATGAAATGTTCTGAAGAAAGGTTTTTATTTTATTTGCCCATCAACACAAACTCTGTAAATGTACTTATTAATCCAATGCAATTCCTCAAAATGCTCATTCTTTAGCATGATATAGACGTCAGGAAAAATTTAAATTCCTAAGGCACTGAACTAGAATCTTTCTTGTGGTCGTTTTCAGAGAATGAAGTTACATTTACATATAACATAACAGTACGTTAATACAATGGAAATGAAAATGTCAAACCAGGGATTTGACATCGGTTAGACACAACAACCAAGGGTCCAGCCCTTTATATAGACTACACAAAGACACATACACACATATGTACACATAGACACACACAAAATTCAAATTAAGGTTTTGGCATTGTATATGCAAAGTGTATGCTGTTTGAGTGGGGAAACAAATTTTCTGTTAGGTCTTTTAGAATAAACTGTAATGGTTATTTTCAGAACCTCATTCCTAATAATTGGATTAGCCCTAAGAATTGTGCAGTTTAAGTACAAATATATTACATCAATGCTTTAAAACCTGCATTTGTGAGAATCTCCTCTGGGTTTATAAAGCATATGATAAAACATATGTTTTAAAATTTCATTTCAATTACTAATTATTTAAATTCTCTAGTAGAGATTGGACGTTTTCACATTAAGAAATTTTAGTCCCTTTTGTCCTGACTTAGGTCCAAAGTATGCTAGTGAGCACCCGTGAATACCCACATCTACACAGTCCCTCATGGTTCATAAGTTACACATGGAAACATGAGAATATTAATAAGCCCATAACTGAAATTACCATGAAGTATAGATTGGGTTACCATAGCCTCAGTCAAAGAACTGTGTGTTCAGTTCCCTTCATTAAATATCTTCTTTCTTTTAGAATTTTGGATATTTGATGTTATATCTACAGAGTTCTCGTTTTGCAAATGAATAAATAATTGTGTGTAATTTGAAGTCCTTTACTCAAAATCATATCTCAAGAGTATGGACTTTGATGTCAGGTTCCTGGTTTTAGTCCTAGCTCTGCTACCTATTGGCTGTGTTATCTAGCCAAGTGATGTAAGTTCTCTAGGACTTTATGTCCTCATCCATAAAAGGAGATGAACAAAAATCTGTATCATCAGGTTAGATATTTCCCTAGCACAGAGGAAAAGGACATCTTAATTGCCACCTGTTGTTTCCATATTTAGTTCAAGGGTTCTCACCCAGGGGAGATTTTGCCACTCAGGGGACGTTTAGCAATGTCTGGAGACATTTTGTCTTGTCACAAAGAACAGCCAGAGGTGGTGAAGCACTTCTGGTATTTGGAGGGTAGAGGCCAGGATGATGCTAGTTATCCTACGGTGCACAGGAGAGCCCCACAACACAGTTATCCGGCCCGTAATGCGAACAGGGGCAAGGCAGAGAAACTGATTTATGAGGAGAAATGAGATTAAACTCCATCCTGTGTTATACTTGCATTTGTCTGTAACTAGCTGTTTTATAGTCTATTTCATAACCAACAATAGTGATTTTGTTTCAAAGTGAATTTTTACTGTTTTTTAAGTTTCGTTGATGACTGCCTTCCATGCCTACCATTCCTGTCATTAAATCGTACTCTGATGTCTTATAGCTATAATAATTCCTCAGTTTAATGTTTAATATTTACATTCCAAGGTACAAATGTGTTTCCACCATAAGTATCTGTTGCTTCTTTTTTAGCTACTTGCCATTTGCTAAAACTCTCATAAGAAGTCAAGAAAACATAAAGGGAAAAAGGAACTTAAGATATTATTTAAATAAACAATTATTTCTAACACTAATACATATAGGCCTAAATACCCATTTACTTAATTTCTATCCTCTGATAATTAAGAGATTTCCTTGAGTTTCCAAAACTATTCAATTTTTCGTGTAATGATTCTAATATCATTGTATCCAAGTCTATAAAATCCTAAGATAATCTAAAATTAATATATCTACTGAATGCAAAAATATTCTACTTTTAATAGTGTGTTCAACAAGGTAGTCATCTAAAGAAATGTAACATGGCAAACAGTTTTGTCTTTTAAAAATCTCGAATTATTAATGCTCATTTTTTCTTATAATTAATATTATTTGCCAAACATACCTGAATCATTATATTTGCCAAATACATGCTTTAGAAGAATAGAATTCCTGAATATCCTATGAAATAACATTTAAACACCATGGTCACTGGCCTTGAACTCCATAATATGCTTAATATGCTGTTAGTTTAGAAATCTAAGCATTTGTAATTTTCTTTCAAATAATAAGCTCGTTAAAAAGAAATGGGGTGAAAGTATCTTGATTGAAAAATCTTTCTGATAGCGTGTAATCTTCAGAATGCTCTAAATGCCAATAAGAGGCTGGATGTTATTTGGTAAAGGAACAAAGCTGTGGTACTTTGGGTTCAAGGTAAAAAGTAAAATATTTGGAAGTGTTCTAAGAGTGACATAGTAATGATTATCCCCTGAAGATATCTGTTATATAAAACAATTGTACTGACTGAGTCGTTTGAAGAGGTTTTGTCTTCATCTGCTTAGCTGTGAAATTTTAAAAGTGTATTTTATACTCCCCTCTTTTAGCAAAAAAGAAATGCTTGTTCATATTGTAGGTCCACATTTTCAAAACTGTTCAATGAAATTGTACCCTTCAATTTAAATATTTATTGGTAAGCTTGTGCAAATTTGTTTTTTTCACCAGTCTGTGCCACCAAACTAACGATGTCCGAAAAAGACAGCAAATATATATTAATTCACTCCTTGTTATAATTACTTCTTTAACTGCAAGCAGATTTTCAAGGTACAATTTTGGAGCCTGCCTTTGTAAATTGGACCCTGTGTGTCTAAATTGGGACTGTAATCTAATTAGTTTCTGCAAACTGTTTGCCTCTTTGCCAGCGTGACTATTGAGGTGTGCTACAAATTGAATCAATACATGCATCCAATGTGTGCTTTCTTCACGCAGGGATTTGAGGCGGCTTGGAGTGACTCTTGTCGGTCACCAGAAGAAGATCATGAACAGCCTTCAAGAAATGAAGGTGCAGCTGGTAAATGGGATGGTGCCGTTGTAACTTCATTTTAATGTCACTTCCTCGAGTGAATGATTCTGCACTTTGTAAACAAGCTCTGAGATTTATTTTAACAAAAAAGGGGAAAAAGGGAATACTCAGTGATTTCTAAACCTTAGGGAGCATTTGTTTCAGCCACAGAATTTGTAACCAGTGTTTTCCTAAAATCTCCTTATCTTCCTCTTGGTGTCTTCATTTTTCATGAAGCAAATATAACCTGCATGGAATAAGAACATGAGGTTAAATGTTATCTTATGTTACAACAGCAAAATCCTCCCCACTGCTTCTAGAAAATTTTGTACAAGAAATATATAACTCTATACAGCACCTTTATAGACTGAATTAAGGCAGCCCCTCTCAAAACTTCCCAGAATCTACTTGAAAGGAAAAGTCGTATAGCCATTTGTGGGCTAACAAAAGCTGCAATTTACTGAAGTTTACTTCAAGTCGTAATTGTCTACATAAGTGTATTGAAGAGCAATATGGTTAGATAATTTCTTAATAGATATCTTCTTTTGTAATTTTAAAATGCTGTTACACAGCGTTAAGTTATAGAAACTAGTGTATAAACATGTTGCTTGAGTGAGGACAAGTACAATACAGGGTGTATATTTATTTTTCTGTGTTATAAAATTTACTTTTAGTTGCTCTTCTAGAAACTATTAGGTAATAAATGTGTATATACTGTATAATTTGCCATATACCCAGGAATCAATTTAAGTTGGAATTTTGTGTGTGTATGCTTTCACATGTGTGCATTACCATTCTGCTTGCATTTTTAATGGCATTTTAATTTTAGTAACATACAGGAACAAGTGTTCCAGAGTAGAATATCGATAAGAAAAATAGGGAAGCAGTAAAACAAAATTGAACACAAGCTTGTGTCTTTTTTCCTCTCATGTGTCCAAAAGCTACTAAATCTCTTCATTCACTAACAGGAAATGTCTATAAGATTAAATCCCCTTTGGCTTTTTAAAAACACTTTGTGATATCTGTGACAATGGAGTTCTTCTAGCCATTAATCTTGCACCCCTGTAAGAAATTTCACCTTTCTGAGTCCCAGAAAATATCTTGTCAAGCAAAGTTGACACCGAAGGGCACATTTTCCGCAGGATGTAGAAGGATTTAACTGTGCAGGCTTCTGTTAATGTTGTTAAATCCAGGTACATAGCGCTAAGCATTACCCCTAAGTGTTAATCCTTTGTAACCATCTCCCTTGTGGCCCAGCTCTAGAAATTTTGATACTAAGGCAGCAATGGAATGATGATAAACATATATATGTTTTTTTCCTTTGGAATCTTCCCTACTTCAAGACTTATGTTTCATTTGTTAGTGGCTATTTATTCATTTGGTAATTTCGTCTTGTATTCAGTTACATCGAATTGAATTTATTGTGATGAATCCATCCAAAGTATTATTTAATTGGCCTTATAAAGGAAATAAGATATGTTCTGTATACCACACTTGGTGAAGACTGACATTTGTGGAACAAATTCTACTTTTATTATAACTGGAACAAAACTGAGCTCCTTGGGGAAACAACCACAGTTTTTGTAGGATTACACTTTATAGAAATTATGGGATGACATGTGATTATTCAAGGAGCACCGCATTTAAACAAAATATAGCCTATTCATGATTTATCAATGGCAATAGTATATAAGAGTAGCCTGGATTAATGAATTCCATAGGAAATATACCTGCATTATGTTAATGAGTCTCTCTCTTTCTCAAGCACCCATTTTAGTTGAATGTTAGCACGTAAAGGAATCAACTTTTGGGAAATAACTTCTTTCTACCCTTCCCACCTTTTACTTAAGCAGTAAAGTAACTCTTTACTAAAGAATATAGCAAAAAGAAAAAAAAAGAAAAAAGTTCTAAACAATTTTCAAATGGTATTTTGAGTTCTGTCCAGTTAGTGCTATAATTCCTTTTTAGGTCTATATTATACCATGCGTCCGCACAAACTATGCTTCAAGTATACTGTATTAGTTTAGTGAAATTCCCAGAGAAAGTAGAGGGATGTGGATTTTACACCGTCTTGATAAAAATCACAAGTAAGCAGGTATCTCCATTATTAAAGATGCATTTGTTCATTTTAAGAAACATAAAATTAACTAATTCCTTTTGTACAAAATAGTTGGAGATTGTACTGCACTTTACTCAATTTTGTAAAAATAATTGAATCTAAGTGATAAAGTAACAATTGAAAAACTTCCAAGTAAGAATACACTTATTGATTTAAAAGCGAAACTACCATAAATTTTGGAGCTGATGGACTAACCACAATTACTTACGCGTGACAAAGATACTTTTTGAATTGTCTTCTAACTTTATATGTTTAAAGATGTTTGAGAGGTCAGGATAGAGTATATCTAAGTGATTAGAATTTGAACTTACAATGTAGACTTCCTCTTTTTCACAAAAGAACATTATAAATTAATTTGGATCAGATTTATTTGCTCCCTTTGCAATCTTGGTGGTCATTTTGGAAAGCAAATTGAGATGAAAGTAAAACAGATAGGAATTTCATCCATATCTCACTTTGGCTGAGAATTTCTAAGGAAAGTCAATATGATTTTAGAAGAAATAAAGAGACTTTCAAATAAGATGTACTTCCTCCCTCCCCCTTAGAAAGGAATAATTCCTTTCTAAAATATTTGTTCACCACTGGATATGTCACCAATTGGGAAGTGCCAATCACATCTATAAATGTGAGAAGTGGGACAAAGAGAAGAGGCAGCTCTTGTGAAATGCAGTGAGGTGGTAACCCAGAGCAAGGTTTGACAAATCTTGATTGTGTGATTTCTTATCCTTTTGGTTCATTTTGTCACCCACCAGACAACCAAAAATAAAACATACACTCAATAATTTTAGCACATAAGATAGATTTGTCAAATAATATATAATGTTACTGTAACTATCAGTAACAATACTGTTAGGGCATGAGTCTTTCTCCATGTTGAACTTTGAAAAATAGGTACAAGAAGGGAGTCATCTTCAACTTACTGATACCTGTTAAAGTCACTCAATTACTACTTTTATCAATCATAATTCATTTCCTAATCTTGCCATTTGCTCCCATGTAAAAATGACATATTACCAGTTGTTCTTCTTGGCCTTTGAAATGTATGAATTGTATGTAAAAATGTAAAGATTCTGATTTTCCCATTTAAAAACAAAAATTTAATGTGCATGGTCTTTTCTTTCTTGTATCTTAATCACCAAGTCAGTGTTCTAAAGTGACAGAATTACTGTAAAAATTATATTCTGATATTCTATCTAAACTTAACTGTGGCCAGCATTAGTGTCAGAGTTGCCAAAACAATACAGAATATCCTTAACTCAGTTTGTGAAAGAGTTTTAACCATTTGGAAATGGTGAAGAGATAGTTTCATGTCTCAAGTTTCAAATGAAAAATTAATATCAATTGAACACATGTATTTGCATGTCTGCTATTTAATCTCTATGTGAAAGTCAAAGATTGTTTTATCACCATTCTTTCTCCCATTTAAAATGGGTTCTCAGAAGCACAAGCAGAGATATTTACCTGTGGAAGACATTTTTGGCTGTAACTGTACATTGGATGGCAAATGCTATCTGAGTCAGATGTTAGAAATTTACTAGATGTATGATGTTGCATAGTAGAATAAGATCCTTTTCTCATTTTGTTTTTTCTAAAATAAGGAAAAAGGAAGCTGAGTATGATAGTAAACTGTCTTTGCTTATGTCCTGCCAGATGTTTAAGATCAAAGTAAATAAAAAGTAGGTACAATAAGATGATGATGATGATAAAGAATAAACAATCAGAATGCTAGTTTTATTTGAGATTAATAACTAGAATAAGTCATCATTTTTCAACTCTGTAGCACAGCTGGTTACATTGAGTATTTTTCTCTATTATGTTGTTAATTATATAGTAATGTATCAAAGGAGAAATAGATAAGAACTTTCTTTTCATTTCTTGTTGATTTATGAAAAAATCTTTTTACACATAAAAGATTGAATGTTCTTATTCAGAATGACCACGTAATTATGACTTAGGAGAAGACACCAATTCTTTAAAACAAAAAAGTCTATTTATAATAATCAGAATCAAAAGTCATTTGTTTCTTTTAAATGTAAATGAAAAGAATTGAAGGTGGCAAAATATGTCATGTTTATTCAGGCTGGGCTATATTAACGGTAGAAGTTTTAGTGGTCAACATATTTGTGAATCTTCAGACTGCTATAGTTTCGCAATTAATTATTTAAAAGTGTGTAAATTTCATTTATAATAGTCTGGGAATAAAACTTAGACTCGGTCTTTTGTTAATATGTTTATGAAAGTCTCTTAGTTTCAGGCAGATAAGAAGCAGCGGTATAGCGCATCTTATTCTATGCTGGGCACCAGAATATCTCAAGCCCCTGCCTCAGAGTTACTTCCATGAGAAATTAGCATTTCTGTATTGTTTTTCCCCATTTGAAGCTCTATGTGCATTTGCTTTGTGTACATGTTTTTGTAGTGTAAGATATGAAATTTTATATTTTTTCAGAAAATAAAAAAACCCTTTGAATACAGTTAAATCATATTGTCATGCTTGACCCTCCCCCAAAAGACTTTAAACTTACAACCTTTGTATAATTATTTTGGTTAGTTCTAATAAAAATGTTTAAATTTCTTATGCTAAATATTTAAAATTCAATCAGCATCCATTTGCCTCCAAGACCTGTTCATGAATCTTTGCATTAGAATATTTTTTGAAACTAGAGTTGGACACTGAGAATATAGGACATGAGCATAATTATGTGAAACCTAATTAGAAGTTAATTTGTGGCAGTGTGATACAACATTACCTGAAAAACCAGAAAACTGTGTGCACCATCTGCAAAAGAGACTTTCTGCTGACCAGCACTAGCTGGTCATCTTCTCATTGCCAAGGATCTGCTTATGGCTTAAGGTGGAAGAGTTGCATTCTTACAACAAGGGGTGTCATTAATTATAAATGCTCCCAATTTTTCTGCATATATTATATCATATTGGTCTCCTTTTGTAAAAAGCATAACAAACAATCTGCTGTATTCAAGGAAATGATTCATATTTGTATTTTTACATTTACATTTTGAAAAGTAACATCACCATGCCTAGGGAAATAATCTATAACTCCTTTGTCTATGCATAAAATCACTATTACAAGGAATGCCATTTAATATTCTAGTAGATATTCTCATGTAAACACTCTGATTTCTTTGTCATGGGGTAGACTATTCTTGTCCTTGCTTTGCTACAGAGGTAAAGATTCTACGATAAAAGGTATTTTCCCCCAATCCTATAGGCACTCTTGACCAAGGAGGAAAGATGGAGTGGTGGTGAAAAAGTTAACATTTAATAAAAATGCACTATTCTGTCTTGGAATTTTTCACTCTTACCTTTGAGATACATTTTATTGTCTTTACTTCACTGATGAGGAAACCATGACTCAAAGCGCTTAAGAAATTGCCCAGGGCCTGGCTACTCTTCAAAAGCAGGATGAAACCCACAGTTATTTGAGACCTAATCCATGAACTTTCCACTACTGATTCCACAATTTTGCCCATGCTATCTAGACAATGGATTCATTTAGGCCAACCTTCTCACGTAATTGATGCAGGAACTGAAGGTTAACAAGAAAAAGTGATTGCACATTCTCACAAAGCAAAGTGTAAACCTTGGGTAGGAACCAGGATCTGACTGATTACATTTCTAACATATTTGGTTTTTAGAATAAGCCAAACTTTGAGAGTCAAAAATAGTTTGTCCTATTTGTGATCTTTCCACTGAGTAGTGACACAATTTAATTCAATATATCTTTCTAGTTTATGTCATTTTTCTCAACAACAAGCACAGGAAATTGCAATAAATATTTATTACTTATTTTCAGCTATATCTGAACTTCACTTATGGAACTTTGAAGGCCACAGGTGATTCACTGGTAAATTGTTACCAAAAATAAAATAAGTTGATAGTTCTTAAAATCTACAGTAGCCATTCAAATCAAGTAAAATTTTATATAAAATATTAAATGTAATTTTACTTGAATTTAGCAGACTAAAAAATAATAAATTGGAATGAAACTGGCAGAAATGTTGAACTACAGATAAATGTTCTTT